GATAAAAAAGCACGTTCATCTGTAACAGAGACCACTAAAAGATGTGCTGTAATCATCACTGCTACCTAACCTCTGTCCTGCATGAGCCGATTAAATTGTTTTAAAATGTTTGAACACGGTACTCATTGTGATCAATGTCACTCTGTTGATCAGATCAGTGGGAATGGAGAATAAAACCCCATTTACTGAACAACAAATATTGGCTGTGTTTCCGGAACAGGCCAAGGGCTTATTGAAAAGAATATTGATTGAGCCAAGAAAACACTGAGCAGTTATAAAAGTTTAATCATATTCTCATTCAAGCCTGCCTTCAGTGCCAGGAATTAAAATTCTCCCATCTCCTGAGGATGGAAGATACATTTCCATAATGTTCTGTAAGCTTCCAATGCTTAGCATCTGTACTGAATGGTGGAATTATTCCTTGCAAGTGATTTAGCTGAGATTTATACACAGTGCATTCTGCACCAAGTGTACAAATTACGCACAAACAAGCTGTGATTTCATGAATGTTTCTCATTTGCAATTGTTTAACAAAGGGCTGGGCAAGCCAGTGTTGGCCCACAAGGTTGGCTAACACTTGAAGTGGTCAGAATAAATATTTGGTCTTCGTGATTGAACAACATATGCCTGGTCCCTCAAATCAGATGAAACTCAAATGATTCCTCAGCTAGAAAAGATTTGTTTCATTACAAGGATGTGTCTATGACTTAATTAGAAAACTGCTCATAAGCATTCACATTTGGCTGAGAACTACTGAGTGCAGGGAATGAAAGGCCCTGTTCAGAATGGCAAATGTGCTGTGGTAGTGTCTGGTTATAGAGGGTCCATGGGGTTAAAGAGCAGAAGAACTGTTTGCCAGGAGAAAACAGGAAATTGTTTTTCTGGACTCTGGTTGTGAAGACTTAAACTTTTCTAAGCTAAGCTCACTGTTGTGGAGAACAAAACCATAATAGAGCTATGTCTGAGCTACTATTTCCCTTCCCCTTTCAATCCTCTGCTTCTCTTACATCTGTGGCAATCTTTATGGAAGTCAAGTGTTGCTGGGTCTGTCCTGCAAAGGGGGATGTGAATGTAGCCAGGGCAGGAGTATTTCAGTGGCTTCCAAATAACTGAGACTGCAGAATTAGCAAGGGTGGCAGGGTTACACAGGGCACGGGCACCTTCTATACACACCAGGAAGTCCTTAAACGTGCTGCTGTGTTCTCAGGTATTTTTGTATAGCAGGTACCTGGCTAAGTCAGAGTTATGTGGTATGTACACCTATGTATTGTAAAATTGACTTATTTCCTACCCAAAAAAGGGTGTGCTGTGAATCCTTCCCCTTTTGCAAAGCTTGTAGGAATTTATGGCTAAAGGGTCAGTGGGTGGCGTATCTTTACAGATGTATCCTGATGGTCTCTGACTCCTGATGACTGTGAACTGAAAATGAGGAGCTAAACCTGTCTGGGCTCATAGGCTTCAAGTTTCTTTGTCTGGTCTGTCACTTCTGAGATGCAAAGGACAGTTGCATTTATACCTGGAGTTCTGAATTTCTGTCCTTCCTCTTTCTGCCCCCACCCTTCAGTTGTCTTCTGTGAGATCTCTTCAGGGAAGTGGAATGAAATTTCATACATGAAGAATACTTTAAAATTAATACAGTGTCTGTGTGAAGGTGGCTGAAAAATTAGAGTGCAAAAAAAAAAAAAAAATCAAAAGGGATAAAAGACCTAGCAGCAAGTGCTAGGTAGAAAATAAAAACTTGTGATGCATTGGTGGGGGTGGCTGGGGTGCAGGTAGATATAATTAGGAGCAAGGTCAAAAGGAACAGGAAAAGCCTTGAAAATCTTGAGCCATCAACAGCTGCACACAGTGTGGATGCATGTAGGCTCTTTTCTCAAGACAAGAAGAAGGAACAGCATCTTCCCATCTTCCTACATGAGAAAATACCAATAAGCAACACAAAACCAACAAGAAGATATCAACTAATTCTTCTTGTGATTTATCTGGGAAGGAAACAGTCAAAGTAGCAAGTCCAGAGCACAGGGCCCTGCAGAGCTGTGGTGTCCTGAGGTACCTTGCCTACATCCACTTATCCAATCCTGCATCTCACGCTCACGGATTCCTGGTACAGTGCCCCTGTTGGAATCTGAGGTATTGATGATCCCAAAACTGTAGAAAGTCTCTGTCTGTCAGCCCCACTGCCAAAGAAGAAGCCATAATTGGTCTGTGCTGGTTTCAAGGTTGTTTATTCTGTTTATCTCTAACATGTTCTGCTGCCCTGCCGCAGCTCTGTCCTGCAGGGCAGCGTGTGGGGCTCTGCCCTCAGTGGGATGGTACAAACATTAAATACCACAAACTACCTGTGCTGGATTTACAATAACGTGCCAATATCTGTCACCTACGTTGGACAGTGTGTCCCCAGCCTGAACCAACAGAAAAATGCCAACACCACAGTGAAACATGGAGGGCATGAAGAAGGAGAAAAAGGACAAGGCACACCCAATTTCCTCCATCTTGTCCCCTTTGGACCCCTCATCTAGAAACCTGAAATTCTACTTTTACACCCGTGCCACACTTAATTATTACTCATATCAAACACTCAAAGCTTGTAATTCATCCTGTAAGATTGGAAACTCTTTTCCATGGACAGAGATCACAGCCAGTGTCTCTGGGGGCTCTGTCCAGGGGGGTTCCTGACCCCTGCCAGGGTCCCAGGGCAGCCAGGGCAGCCAGAGGGAATCCTTGGATTCCCACATACCCCTAATGGCAGCTGTATGCCCTCTCCACAAGCCAGTACAGTGCTTCCTAATGGAACCTGTGCTTGGAAATGCCCCATTTGAGGACATGTTCCCAGTCTACACTGTTACACCACCGTCCTTCCCATCATCCAGCACCCCTAGTGCCTATTGTGTAACTCTGAGCTGCATGGCTGCTTACTGTGCTGCTTTGACAAGATGAATGTCCTGCTCCCTGTAACTTAACCCAATATGCTCAGTTAAAGATTCACTTTGCTTTTTGGCATAATTAAATCAAATAATTCAGAAAGAAAACAAAAATATTGCATTTTCTGCCTTACTCTTGTGATACATGAGGTTAACATTTATTTGCTTAGACATTCCTCTGTGATTAGAGGATGTTTGGTAAGGTCAAAAAAGACCTATACTATGAAGTGGGAGGTTAAGACCATCTCAGTAAGGAGATGGGTGCTGGGAGGGAGCAAAGGAGCTGCTAGTGAAAGGATTGTACCTTTTTCTTCTCAGTTTTAAAGGATTACATGGATTAGCAGCGTGTGGAGAAGCAGCAGCCGATCAGGAATCATTTACAGATATATGGTAGGATTATTTATGGAGAGGAAGTTAGAACTGGATTTATGCAGCTCACTATATCTGGTTCCCAGATTACTATGGAGGTTGTTGTGATACTGAGCCTCAACAAAATCTCCTTTAAGAAAAATTTTGCTTATTTGGGCTGCTCCATCTCTGCGCTCTTTTCAGTATCACAGAAACATGTGAAGACAGACTCGTAGCCAAATACTAATCTCACAGTCTCCACAGAAGTTAACTAACACCATCTGTGGTAGTTTTTACTGCAAATTACCACAACACGTGAAATTTTCTCAGTGATTAGTAGAGCCTTGTCATGAGAATAGTGTCACAAGGCCTCCTTGCACCATGGCTCTCATTTCCAGATGTCTCTGTTTTAGATATCTAGGAAAGGATGCTTGATTATATCTCTTCAGTAAAAAGGAAGATTCTTCTTCTCAGTGTGCCTTGAATGTTAATGCAAAGCAGAAATGAAAGAGATTAAACCAAGCAGCACGAGTAGCACATACGTAAGTAAAAAGTTTTCTCTGTCACAAAGCTACTCCCCAGATGTCGAAAAGCCATTTTTATCTGTCCCCTCCTGCTTGTTCTCAGGGTCTGTTTCCCTCTTGCTAACTTTGTACTTTGGACGAGCAGAAGAAAGCAGGAAGGATCTGGAGAGGGGGAAAAACTAACCTCAGCAACAAGGAGACCAGAACACTGAGAATAGGAAAAAAGACATGAACAATCAGTGAGCCCAGAGGAGAGTCACCAAGATAATTAAAGGGATGGGTCCCATCTTCCAGGGGAATGGCTGAGGGAATTGGGATTGTTTTTGGGTGTTCTCTGACTCCATCCAGCCCTCCCTCCTAGCATCTCCAGTATTCTGCACAGGACGTGAGGTTCTGTAAACAGTGCAGCTTGAAATGTGACAAAAAATTCAGGCCTTAATTTCAAACTGGAGCCAGATGGTTTAGGAACTCAAAAGTTATTGTTTAAATACAGTGTTGTTTTTAAGCACAGTAAAAATCTTAGGTATAGTCACCAACATGTGGAGTTACTGTAGATAAATAATTTTTGAAATTATGTGCCACAGTGTTTACATTAAAATACACAGATACTTGCATCTTAATTACACTGGTTTCTGCTAAAGGATTTTAAATTAGTGTGGGAAATATGCATTTCAGCTACACTTTCCTAATTTAGTCTAATAAAATATGGCCAAGAATTTCCTTACATCCATTGTTTTATAATGCAACACAGAAATCTCCCAGAACTGGTAATTCACATCATACAATTACAGTTATACAGAAAAATTAGGCAAATTTAACTGGAAATACTCTTTTAAAAATCCACGTATAAAAAAAAAGAGTCATTGTATATAGATAGTCATTATTTTTGGAAGTCTATTACTTTTAAACTTTTATACTATTAAACTTTTAAACAAAACACTGTTAAACTATTAGTTTAAAAACAAAAACCCCAAATACAATTGTTTCCCTATACCCAAGCTGCTTAGATTGGACCATTTTATTTTAAATATTATAAAGCCAGTTCTGTAAGACATCACCCTCACAGACTTTAAATACAAAAGCATCAGATGAAGAACAGTGAGTTTCTGAAATCTGGTTGTGAGAAAGCTGACAGTGACACATGTATGTGTCAAAGATGAATAAATACAAGAACTTAAAATTCAAAGCACCAGCAATCTCATACATCATTTTATTTATTTATTTATTTTTATTAAGGATGTAAAAGGTTCAAATGTCAGAGCTATAATGTCGGAATTGTTTATAATGTCAAGTGATACATGTTGCATATTCTTTCTATGTTCCATTGCTAAAAGCTTTCACCCAGGTATCTGGGCAGGGCAAAGATACCTAAATTAGTCAGAAAAAAGGTTGTCTGTTTTGGAGGAGTACAAGTGACCCTATTTCTCTTACCTTTTGTTTCATACAGCCATGGCAAAGAGCCCAGAAAAACATTTTTTTTTTGCAAAGGAGGACATACAAGTCAAAGGACACAAATCTCTGGGAGTGCTTACAAAATGATTTGGGTTTTGCTACTATTTGCTTTACAAAGACAACAAAATTTAATTTCAAGACTTTTAGAAAAGGTTAATTTGAGAGAACAGTAGCTGAGAACTGGAAAAAACATCAAAATATCACATTATTTTAATTAACAAATGCAATAAAATTAAGTGTAGTAGAGAGCTTGTTAAGTAGGATACACATATTGGGAATATTAAGCTAGCTGAAGTGTTTCCCAGATAACTTAATCCAATTTTGAGTACTTATTAGAGCAAATGTTAGGTTAATACAAAGCAGGCTTAGTTCTTAATTCATCTGGATAGAACACAGTCCTACCTAAAAGTTTGTGTCCACACTTTAGATAGTAGGTTAAAGAACACATTATTAAAAGAAAAAAATTCTTAACTTTGTGTCTTCTAGAAAAGTTTCAGTTTATATTATTTTCATTATTTTATTAATTAGTCTGAACAGAAGAGAAGGTGCTGTTTTCAGTTTGGATCATGGTCATTTTCTTCATAGTACCTGGTAGGAGACTGTGTTTTGGGTTTGTGACCAAGAGAATATTGATAACACAAAGGTGTTTTCATTACTGCTGAGAAGCACTTGCACAGTGACAAGTCCTTTTCTGCCTCTCACCCCCCCCCACCACCGAGTGGGCTGGGGGTGCACAAGGAGCTGTGAGGGGGCAGAGCCAGGACAGCTGGCCCCAAACGACCACAGGGATGTCCCACACTGTGTGGAGTCATGTTCTGCATATAAAGCTGGGTGAGAAGAAGGAGGGGAGAGGATGTTCAAAGTGATGGCATTTGTCTTCTCAAGTCACCCTTATGCTTGATGGATCCATGCTTTCCGTGGAGATAGCTGAACATCTTCCTGCCTGTGGGAAATGCTGAATGAATTCCTTGCTTTGCTTTGCTTGCACACATTTTCTTTCTGTATTAAACTGTCTTTATCTCACTTTCACTCTTCCAGTTCTCTTTTCCATCCCACTAGAGTGGAATGAGTGAGCAGCTAGCCAGGGTTTGACCACAACACGTTCATAGAGATCAAACAGGTTACTTTTACTGCATCAAATATCTTTTCTATTATATGCAGGAAAAAGTTGTTGGTTTTCATTATCAAGGGAAAGAATAAAGAAAATAAAAGGAGATATAGAAAGATTGAAAATTGTTACTCCTGGAGAAGGCTGCTCAGTATTGCCCGGGCAGGCTTTGACAACTTCAGGTTCTCTGAATATATCAAATATTATCTTCCTGAAATGATGAGACAGAGATCACCTCCATGAGTGGGTCCTTCAGACGCTGTTTCTCCTGCCATTCTGTATGACTTTGAGTACGTTGGAAAGGTCAAAACTTTTCGTAATTAATTCCATTAGGTCCTCGTCTTTTTCCACACCATTGATAAACTCTTCTAAAGTCAGTTCCCCTAAAAGAAAGTCAGATAGTCTTTAGAAGCTGAGAAACAGCAATCTCTCTAGTGAACAAAAGACCACTCATGCCAAATTGAATCCCTTATGAAAGTTGCTGATAAGCAAATGCAGGTAGAGTATTTGCTAAGGTTTTCTCACTTTGCATCAGTCAGATCCTCTCTCATGTGTTTTTCTGTAAAAACAGGTCAAACACTGAAGTCTGAGACAACTATAAGTGCTCATTAATGTGTGTAAAGGGGCTCTAATGAAGCCTGTATCAGGGCTGAATTTGGATGTACTGGCCACTTCTCACTAAGCTAACTGGACTCTATCTTAGAGCTGGTTTTAAAAGAGATTAGGGTGTGATTTGCTAAGGATTAGTAGTCATAGTCCCTGTGTTGACTACTAGGATTATTTAGAGCCATTATCAGATGTAGGGGAGAAAATCAGCTAAGTGGTTTGATAGATAAATTCTTTCAAGGAACTGAAATGGCCCTTTAGAGTGTGATTTTTTTGGGCTCATGTCAAAATCAGCTAATAACTTCAAAATTTCAAGACAACAATAAAATCTCTTTTATTGAAGAGTAGGAATGCTGTTTAATGTTCTTCCTCTTTTCCTGCTCTTTTCCCTGTCAACAAAGGCCAGTTCTAGGCATGTGTCTGTGCATAGTACACAGAAATGTCCACAATTCTCTGTCTAGGAGTTATTCCAGTGATACCATTTTACCTTAAGAGGAGAAATAAATCTTGGTTTAATAAGAAGAGCCAGATTGTTTCCTCTGAGAATGGTTTAAAGCTTCTTGTTAAATTCGCAACAATTAATGATTTCTCAGTAAAATTAGAAATGACAAGGGCCAGGCAAAGAGGAAAATAGCTGGATGAGTTAAGGCCCCATGGTGCAGGGGAGCAGCAATTCCAGTCATGTCTATGTCTGGCGAATGCTTAGCATGCTGACTTTTGGCTATTTTCAGGTTTAAGTACTCCCTGTAGGGATTTTTTTTTTATGTCTTGTTTTTTGTCCATGGCAGCCTTGGAAACTTCATCTGACATGAAAAAGGAAAATGATCAGCATTTGAAAAATGTGAAAACGACTTTGCAATTTATTTGTCTGTTTGCACTTTTCTTTAATAAGCTACAGGGAGGTAGTACAGTTGAAGCTAAACTTGGTGAAAGTTGGCCCATTCCTCAGGTCAAGCTAGTCCTGTTGCTTTCCAACAATTTTAAAACTAAGAAACTATGGAAAACAGTTTGAAACTGAACCACTATGAAGATAATCCTGAATACGTCATATTTCAGATTTTCCTTGCTAAAATGTATGACACAAATTATGGCCTAGCTCAGATACAATTATTACTTGCCAGTAAATGTGTGGTCAAAGCAGTGAATAATCATAGAATTTGGGTTAGATTTTGGCTGTGTTATTTGGACTCTGTTCATAATTTGTCTTCAGCAAAGAGTAGACCAAGGAGGTGGGTTAAAAAAATCCTACACAAAGCATCCTACACATGCATTGCAAGACTTCTGTTTATACTCTGATTATCTATTGCAAACGACTTTTTAAAAAGAGTAACCTCAATGCACTAAATAAGACCATAAAAATGCCCCTCCCTTTGCCAAACTGCCCAAAATTCCTGTCTGTGACCTGACTTTGCTCTTTTTAGCTTTCCTAATGTTCCTAATTTATCAGTGATTTCAGCAATTGCTGTAAAACATAGTTGCCAGTGGAAGGAGTATCTTCATGATTAGAAATATGAGGGGAGACATTCATCCAGAACAAATTTTCAATTAGAAACAACTCTGAAGCAGTGAAATGAAATTGTAATTTCCAAGTGCAAGACCCAATTGGCTTAATTTAGTATCTTGAGGAAAAACCAGGAGCATGTGTCCTAGCATGTGTTGACAGTCAGCTTTCAAGGAACATCCAACATGCTCACCAGTTTTTAGAACACACTAGAGCATGTGCAACCATGCATCCTATTTGTTTTTGGTTTTTTGTGGTTTTTTTTAAGGGTTTAAAATAGATTATACCAACACAAATATAACTTCCCCACTACCAATCATGCTTTCATTTTGCTGTGCAACGTGAGAACTGGCATTTTGGATGAACGGTGCAGGAGCTGTTTTTACTGCATGCAATTACTGCATGTAATTCCTTTGTCAGTTGACTTACACTCCACTGTAAACTGGAGTAAAATAAGGGCAAAGAAGAGCAGATTTGGGATTTCAGTTATCTAAACCAGTCATCCTTTAGCTGCATGTTCAAATCCTTTCTTGCAGAGGAGTCTCTTCCAATCCAACCAAACCTAGATCCTTACCGTCATTGTTCACATCTATCTTCTGAAATATCATGTTTGTGAACTCTTCAGCACTCATGTTGGTGTAGCCATTAATAGCCTGGATTGCCTGAGGGCAGAAACACAGAAAGTTCTTTCACAGTTTTTCCCATCAAGCTGTGAAAACAATACACTGGCAGAAGCAGTACTTGAAGTGCAACTCTTTAGTTCACAAACCCTTTCAAAAATCACTAAATAAATAGCTACTTCAAGTAAGTCGTCAGTAATAAGGACTGGAAATTTAATTAACATAACACAGCCTAGAGATTACAGCCTAATTTGCATATCTCTGAAGGTCTGAATAACCCTATGGCACCTCTGCTCTGTAATTCACTTTCGATTCCACATCAGCATTTTTATCTGGCCCTAGAGAGTTCCATGCTTACAGAGAATGCCCTTTGGTCTGTGTGATTTAAATGCAGTATTGTTTTTCCCATCTGAAAGCACATGCAGAGAAAGCCTAAGTCATTTTTCTATTAAGACATGTTTAATTTAGTAATCACAAATAAAGTCAGAGCAGCAGTCCTGGAAGTTGGCATTTTACTTGTTCTCCAGAGAAGTTAAGAAAACCAGAAGAATCCCCTCTACTTTTATTTTTTTTTTTCTTTCATGGGTTTTGTTTGTTTGTTTTTGGTGGGGTTTTTTTGGTGGCAAAAGGAGTCAATATTTGGAGTAAAGTTACAAATATATGTTTTTACAAAATTGTGTCAAATTTACTGGGAAAATATGTGCATATATAAACATGCACATATATTACATAATGGGCACATTATAGAATTTGTTTTTCTGCACTTGAATTATCTTGAGGTGAACTGTGTTGTGTAAGATAAATCAGTGTATGTGCCACTTGTTTCTTCTGGTGTCTCTTTCCAAATATTATATCATATTTTAAAACAATGTAAGTTAAACCTATTCAGCACTGATCTAGAATTCTTGATCAAATAAAATAATAAAAATGCCCAGTCCAAATGCCCCAGATTCCTGTCTGTTTCAAAAAGCAGCAATAATTTTACAAAAATAGTTACATAAACTTGTTATATTACTAATTCGTACTTTAGGTACTTTTGGTGTTTTATATGTTTGACCCTCCTGCAGTCTTCAGTAGAAAGTTGTATCCCTTCCACAGTTAAATTTATTGCAGTGCCAAGAGTAAAGCAGTGGTTCCTGAAGTATTTGTGTCACTGACTACCACAGAAACCCCTTAAATAGTAAAATACTTGGTGTTGAAAGGGTGCATGGTGATCTGGAAGGAGTTTTGATGGTTGGTAGTGATATGCTGGTCCATAGTTTGCATAGCTGTAGAGACAGATTTCATTTTAATAGCACTTCTGTGTTTCAAAATTAATGTCTCAGATATGATACATCTTTTTGGACAAACCCTTTGTTACTGATACTTATTATAAGCTGGGCACCCTCAATGGCTGTGAGCCTGTTTGTTGTTTTTTTCTTTTTGGGCCCACCATTTTTAATCTAGTCTAGGTCAATGACTTAAGCAGGTTTAAGTTAAAGTTCTTATGCTCCAAAAGAGACAGAAACACACAGAGATATAAACTTGTTTTAAAACCAGGTAAGCTAAAAAAGAAATATTCTTAACATTGAAAGGATTTTAATTTTAATTCTCATTTCAGACAAAGCGCCAGAGAAAACACTGCTGACTCGTTGGCTCTGGGTGAAAATAAATGGTGAATATTTGTGAAAGAAAGATTTCATTAACCTCAAATGAGAAATCTGGAAGATTCAGCTTCTCCTTCTGTCTTTAGAAAGCTGCTCTTTAGGTGATCAGCTTTATTTGCTTGACCTGGTAGCTCCATCTGGCTCCAGTTCCTTTCAGTTTTGGCAGCAGCTATTTAAAGTCTCTAGCAGCAGCTGGCTTGGCACCAGCAGTAGTGCAGAATCCAGGAAAAGTATGTTCCTTGTTTGTTATGGCATTAAACTCTATTTAGTTTTGATGCTCCCTGCTGAAAAATTTTGATCTGTAGTGAGTCCTGTACATTTAGGGAGCAGTATTGAGACATATATATTTATTAGGAGCATTAACATACCTTTTGGATGACAGCACCTAATGAAGAGCACAACGTTATTTCATTAAAGCAAGCTGAAAATTATGAAGATAATTTTAAAGAAAGAATGGCACTTCTTTGGTTTTATGGGTTTGAAGTGGACCCATTTTCTGCAAAATTTTGGAAGTATTTTTATCCAAATATCACTGCATGATTTAATAGTAAACTTATACTTCTGTGATTTAGTTTTAAAATGGGGGTAATGGCATTTGTAGTGAACAAAGCTAAAAGCCTTTCAAAAAATTAAAATATTGTAATATTTTGATAACATCTACATTTTTCTTTCTGCAAGATCAGTTTGAGAAGCCAGTTTTCCACAATAGACTGGCACATATACTTGTAACCATCTGTTTTGTTCATTATGCTGCTACTGTCTTACCCTGCCTTATAATACAGTTTATCACAGTAATGTCTCTACTGTTTCTACAGCATTTCACTTTCAGTAAAGTACTTTATCTGTAGAACTATGGTTTAAATTAAAATACTACTTAGATGTGTTCAATAAGGACAAAACTAATGTCAGGTCTGTCACTACTAGCCACTGTTAATTCTGGTTTTACAGCCATAAAACATTAGATAAAGTACTGACAATCCATTTACAGACATGATCTAGAACTGTTTCAGGGGCAATGCACTGTATCAAATGCTCTTGCTATTGGTCATAACTTACTTACCCTGAATATGCTTAATAGTTCTTTTTTGTCAATGCATCCGTTTCCATCAGCATCGTATAGCTTGAAATACCATTTCAATTTTTGGTCAATTTTCCCTCGTATAACCAAATTTATTGCAGCTATGAACTCCAAGAAGTCTATAAATCCGTCCTAAGAGAGAGAGAGAGGGAGAGGAAAAAACACACCTATTTAACAACATTGGTTTTCCTGTTCTTTCTGGCAATTGCACAGAAACAGGTCATCAAAGTCCCTACAATACACATTGATTTATGAAGCACCTTCACATAGAAATATATGGAATTAAAAAAGGATGAAAGGATGTGCTCAACTGGAAGAGCTATAGGAAGAGGTATTAGGAAGGACAGTTTCATTTTCCCCTGAAATCTGGCCATTGTGGAGGTGAGGGGCAAGTCTGTTCTGAGCAATTGTTATTGACAGCCTTTAAAAGGAAAAAAAAAACAGTTTTGTGGCACACTGCCATGTGAAAAATAGGAGTTTGGGATATCTGGTTTGGTACTAATGAGATATCTACAGTGAAGTTGTTTACATCTATACTGCAGAACTATGTATGATTTCCAGAGCTGTTCCAGGTGTTATTAATCTGAGAGATCATGTAATAAGTGTTTTAAAATTGTAACCAATACTCTGGCATGAACCCTAACTACTGTGGTTTATCCAAAAAAACCCAAGTATTTCTGACAAACATTTTGCATTAGATACAAAAGCTTTAAGGCCTAAACCAGTCTCTAAATATTGAGGATTGGTAGTATTCATAGGGAGACAGCATTTCACATTGATTTCAGATTCATTATTTTCTTACTGCTTTGCTCGAGCTGCAGACTACACCATAGTCAGGTTCTTCTGTTTCTGTAGAAATGTGGTTAGGATGGAAGACACAGTTGCTGAATTTGGATCCTACTTGCTCCAACTGTTTCTCATGAGCATACAAAAAGAATTAACAGCTGATAAATTTAGTCTTGTGATCAGAATCCAATTGGTCAGAATCCAATTGCTCAGAAAACCTTGGAAAGACTTTTCAGTTTCAGATGGCCTTTGACTGAAAGGAGAAGGTTGGATGAATATCCAGTAGGTTTAGCATGTTACTTAGTTTTATTGTCGTATATCAACAGATGCCTTGCCAGTTGAGGTTCACAATCAGCAGGCATTAATCAGTCCTCAATATTGTACTACAGGAAAAGAAGACCTGTAAGGGTGCGGTGTGACTCATTGCCAAAATCAGAATCCTAAAATCATTTCGGTTGGAAAAGACCCTCAAGGTCACCAGGTCCAAGAGTTAACCCACCGCTGCTAAGTCCATCACTAAACTGTATCCCTAAGTGCCACAACTTCCATGTCTTTTGAAGACTTCCAAGCACTATCAGTATATTCTTGTGACAAGGAACCAAACATGTGAGCATGCAAAGAATGACAACAAACAGGAATTTATGAGGGCTAGAATACACTGAAGTTGAGAGCTCTTCTGACCAGCCTTCCATTGAAAATGAACCAAAATGCCTAAAGCCATCTCCACATATCTACCTGCCTAGGTTCAATCACAATAGATTGTAGAAGTGAATATAGGTTCTCAAAGACTGGATTTTTTTTTTTAAATAGGAGTCCACCCTCTTTTTTTTTTCTTCATTCTCCTTTTAGATTCCTCACAACTGTGCCCTCATGGTACTGATCTGGGTCAGAGCTCCTGGGAGCCCCTTGTAGCGTTTGTTTTGATTTCTGTGCAAGGCTGAGCAGCACACTGGCACCTAAGAGATAGTTCCAATGCATTCAAACACACTGGATTCAGCCCTCATGCAGAAATGGTGTGTGCATAAGTCGTGCAGACTGACCATTGCTTCACAGACCTTCTGCAGGTTCTCTGGTGGTTGCTGGCTTTACTCTAATTGCAGTCACAAGCAAATGCAGCAAAGACACCATTCAACCACTCTTTAAATTAATTTTGACAGTAACTACACATAATTTTCAAACAAAATTAGGCCCAGTATTAAAAGCAGATGCTTAACCAAAGATGACATATCACGCACTACAAACTTAATCTTCTTTTTGGCACACTGGTTTTAATTTCCATTTTACAAGTATTATTTCAAGAAGGATCTCATAAAGTATTTTACTGGAGGTCAAAATGTATTTTGCTGATTGCATTTCTATCATCTGATTTGATATATCTATTAAGAATGTGGTTAAATGCATTTCACATTGCTGTTTTTTTACTGCATTTCATACTGCTTATTGCAACTACAGATTAATTTAAGGATTGCTGGATGTCCATGACAAGATTCATTTTCTTCTTACTCCCTTACATTTCACTTGGGATTTTGGAAATTTTTTTTTTGTTTTCTTTCTTTTTGCATCTTGGTGTCACTATTGTTGCTCTGACTAAATATCAGGAGTCTGGACAATGAATGTAAAAACCAGTCTAATGTGTTTGGGTATGTAATTCTGATCTGATGGATTCTATGGCCTGTCCCAAACAGGAAGGGACTGAAGACCAGGGTCAAAAAACTCCCACCTCTGAAAAACATCTGGGAGAAATTGTAGTTGTCAGGAAAGCCCTTGCCACTTTCTGCAGTCGTGTGAAAACTGCTGGTGACATGGTAGCTAGCAGCTGGTTTCTATTTCTCAGGAACAGAAATACTGAGAAGACTTAGACACGTTTGTCTACTTGATGTGGAACAAGAAGCATTTCATAAAAGCATTGATGAGAAATGTAATGTTTTCCTTTCTATACCAGAAAGCATACATTGTAGGTAAAAAATAAAACATTTATGGTATGCAGAAGGCTACAGTGATCTTGTTGCACATATACAGAACTTTCTAAGATAAATACTGCACTTTTTACAGTAGCATCTCAAAACACTACATTAAACAGTGAAAAGCATCATAACAGTAACCTATGAAGATCATCCTGTGGTTCTGTGAGTATAACAAATAATGCAATAAATGTGTTATGATGTTATTAAAAGAATACTGCTGTGCTGATTTACCCATCTGCTGTTCTATAATAATTCTCAATGCAAGTATCTAGGTAGGTCCTTATGTGTCTCTGGGCTCTGTAAAACACCTCTCTGCAGCATGCACAGCAATGTATCTGGTGCCTGTTAGGAAGTCATTAATTCACAAGCAAAGGGCTACTGTAAGAATAATAAACTAAATTTTTAAATAATGCCCAACAACATAATAAGCAGAGCTGATTACCAGCGGTGGAAGATAAAAATTATTTACTTTTGGTGTTTAACTCTGTCAAATATTTGTAATATTTTAATTAAATGGAATTCATTCTAGTGAAACCTGCTTATTCATCAGGTTAGGAGACAAGACAAATTTGGGTGTATGAAGGTTTCTTTTCTATGTCTGCATGGTGCTGGCTGTGCCTTCATTGCCATGGGCACCTGTAGGGATGGTGAAGTCCTGCACCCTCCCCTGCCCAAATGAACAGAGGCATTGTGGAGTCAGGTCCCAGGGTACCCTTCTGGGTGTGGTGCAAAACAGAGGGACAGAACTCTCCTAATGTGCTTCTGAGGAGTGGCCTGGAGACACTGGCCAGAAGAATGGGTTCAGATCTTCTTTTACATGCCCCAAACTCTCCTGTATTTCTATACATAATAGGCTTAATAAAAATGTAGACCTATTTTTATTCTTTTAACATCTTGACTGGATGAACTAGAAGTTTAAGGATGCTTTAGGGTCATATATGTGTCTGTGCCCTGTGATACTGTGCTTTTGTAACTTGTTTTGCTTTTGCTGATGAGTGATTTTTTATGCCACTTGCAACAGATTGATTCACACAACAAAGACAAAAAGAGGCTCCAAAAATGGAAGTAGATCTGGCTGATGGTATGAAATTGGTCCTCAGGCCACTATCATTTTTGAGTGCCTAAGGCCCAGAGCACATTTCAGTTTTTCATTAGCTACTGGATCTGCTGAGGAAAAAGAAATTTAATTTTGTCCTTTTATGATTTTATGAGAAGTTTTTGCTTCAGGCTGTCAGTCTATGTACCCTTACTGGAGGCTGCTCACCATTATTTGGTGAGGACAGAGATGTGTGTCTCCTGGAGCAGAGCTGGGCAGGGCAGGACTGCCACATTATACAAAGGCCATAAATACCCCAGCCCTGGAGTTGTAGGAGGGCATTACTGGCTCCCAGAACAGCACTGCTAATCTTCACAGATCCTTAAAACACTCTTAGGACTTCAAACTGTAGTAGAGATTAAAAATAATTGACTTGTTGGCTATGAATACACAGCTGATCTGAAACAGCACAGTTATCCAAGGCTGTGCCAGAGTGAGCTGAACGTGGTGTTTTGGCTGCCTAGCTCTTTCCTGAGAGTGATTTTCTGGCAGTGGCAGGGTTCCCCTACAGGGATAGTCAGCCATCTCACACCACATGCTGAGGCCACACATGTGGGAAGGGACAATTTCTGTCCCTGAAAACCCCAGGGTGAGTGAGCTTATCATCCTACTTGAACCACTGTGGGCTCTACCACAGTCTACACACAATAAGCAGTGCCTTGTTTTCAAAATGTATTCCTGAAAAATCTCTAAACTCAATCTGACAGCAGGAGAATAGCTCAAATTGTTTCTCAGGATTAATAAGTGTTCAAACATAGATGGCCCAGGTATTTCAGACCTAGGGCTTAGGTCATTAAGCCACCTTCTTTCCCGGCCGCCTGTCTTTCAGAATAGTCCTTAAACCTCTTAAGGGAGAGGGAGGAGGCATGGGTCAAACAGCTCAGAATAACTGTGAAATTTATAGCTAATCCTATGTGCTTCTTTCTTTCTCTCTGGGTCCAATTTCAAATATAGCACTGCTTTCTCTGCCCCCAGAAACCTAAAGGAGGATTCATTTCACTCTGTTTCTTCTTCCCCCATTTCATGGAATCAGAGAATTACAGAATCATGTTGGTTGGAAAAGGCCTCAAAGATCATTGAGTCCAACCATCCTCGATTCGTTTTTACTTATGAGTATTTTCTGTTCCTTAGAGGTTACATATGCAATTATTGAAGAAATAAAGAGCTGCTCGTAACTGTGTTACTTTGATACTTCCCTAGGATCTTATATTGGAGTTTGGGCTTGGCCAGACTCACAAGTTTTTTAAGTAGGGCTGGCATTTGTCATGGGGTGAGGGAGACCTCAG